GCTGGGCAGGGCCAGACTATCGGAAGGGGGGGGGGGGGGCTATGAGGCGTCTGGGGTGGCATCCCCCCACCCCACCCCAGACCCCTCATAGCCCCCTTCTGATAGTCCGGCACCCCCTGGGTCCTAAAGGTGCCGGATTATCAGAAGTTTACTGTATACAGATGATGAGTCATCAGGGCTGTAATTTCACTTACCCTTCTTGCAGAGGCTATTGTCACTATGAAGGCCACTTTCATAGCTTGGTGTTGTGGTGAAGGCAGCAGCTTGTGGCTCAAAGGGTGGTCTTGCAGTATGCCAAGCACAAGGTTTAAATCCCAAGGTGGCACTGGCAGGCACAAATTTGGACCCATCTTTCTAAACCCCCTAGGAAGTGCTTTGTGATAGGATGCGCAAAGAGCAAGAGGACATCCACTGGTTCATAGAAGGCTGTGACAGCAGACAGGTGGAAGTGAATGGAGGTGATAGAGGTGCCATCATTGCTAAGGTCCATGAGATATTCCAGTATGGTAGGAATTGGAGCAGTGTTTGGCTGCAATTGATGATGGCAGCACAACTCTTGAAATCATCTCCATTTGTTTTGATAGGTATACTTCGTAGAGGAACACTGACTATTTAGGAGGATTTGCTTCACTCTGAGCAGGTAAGTTCTTCATTTTGTAACCATGAAGAACTGAGTTTGAGGGCCCCCAGATTCGAGTGGAGAGTTTTGCCTTGATGTTGAGTCAGTAAGTGGGGACCAATGGGTAGGAGAATCGAGGGAATGATTGATAGGTGGTTTAGGTAAAGAAACCATGGTTATCTTGGCAAGCAGGGCACTATTAGAATCACTGTGGCTCGGTCTATGTGACTCTTGTTGATTACCCCAGAGAGTCAGTGGAAAGGCATACAAAAGGAGAGATATCCAGGGTATGGTGAAGGCATCCCTCTCTGATCTCTTGCCTCGACCTGCTCAGGAGCAAAAGGAGGCGGCATTTGTGGGTGGCTGCTGTCACGAATAAGTCTATGATCGGCAGGGCTCGCCGATCGCCCAAACCCAGCTCTTCCGGGTTGCAATCTACTCGCCACAGGTGAGTAGATTGTATTATTTGTTGAGCCCTGATGATCAGGAACACCCATTGTTGGAAGACTGGGAAGATGACACTAAGCTGAGCTCCCACTTGTGATGTTCCAAGAAATGGCTGCTTAGTGATGTTCTGTCGGCCTGGTACGTACATGTACGTTGGCATTGTCGTTCTTCAGGCATCAGTTCCAGAACCCGACTGCTTCTTCACATTAGAGAGCGTGATCAAGCACCTCCCTGCTGGTTTGTGTAAAACAGAGGGTGTGCTGTTTGTAAGGAAACACACAGTTCTGCCCTGGATGAGGGGAAGGAAGTGTGCACATGAACTGTGGATGGCTCTGAGTTCCAGGAAGTTGCTGTGAAGCTGCATCTCTGATCATGACTTTCTGCCCTGGAGTGACACTGAGTCGAAATGGGCACCCCAACCTAGTAGTGATGCATCGGTTGTGACGACCACTGATGGATCTGGGTGATGGAATGGTACACCCGTGAGGAAGTTGCACGGGTAGGTCCACCATTTGAGAAATTGGAGGACTAGTGGAGGAAGTGTAAGTTGTTTTGCAAGGCTGTGTCAGCTGGGAATGTAAACAGATGCGAGCTAAGTGTGTAGGCAGCTCATGTGTAACATTGCAAGGGAGACAACCAATGTAGTAGCTGCCATATGTCCTAAGAGCTGAAGGCTTATGAGTGTAGCTGTGA